GGACCCCCACCCTGATCCGGGACACCCTTCAGGGCAAACCAGCCGGCCCCCACCTGTGCACCAGGCCTCTATCCTATATAATAAAAGGGTAATATGCAAATTGACCCAACAGCAGAATGACTGAGAATGACTGGTCATTATGACACACACTGACCACCAGGGGGCAGATGCTCAATGCAGGAGCTGCCCCCTGGTGGTCGGTACACTCCCACAGTGGGAGCTCTGCTCAGCCACAAGCCAGGCTGCCAGCTGCCAGCACAGTGGTGGTGGCGGGAGCCTCTCCCACCTCCTCAGCAGCGCTAAGGATGTCTGATTGCAGCTTAGGCCTGCTCCCCAGTGGCAAGTGGACATCTCACGAGGGCTCCAGGGCTGCCAGAGGGATGTCTGACTGCCAGCTTAGGCCTGATCCCCTGGGGAGCGGGCCTAAGCCAGCAGGCAGACATCCCCTGAGGGGTCCCAGACTGCAAGAGGGCACAGGCTGGGCTGAGGGACCCCCCGAGTGCACAAATTTTTGTGCACCGGGTCTCTAGTTTTATATAAGGGACTAGAGCATCTGTGGATTTTGGTATCCTTGGTGGGTTTTGGAACCAATACCTCTTGCAGATACATAGGGATAATTGTATAAGACAGAGGAAACAGTAAAGTTGTCCCTCTGCACAGCAGCTTCAGAAGGGCTCTGTGCTGGAATGAGGTGGTGACTGAAGAGGAGAGAGTGACCCTCAAGATCTGGGCCTGTTGGCTGCTGGCTCACTCGAGTTTACTGGGTGCCAGTGGGGAAACAAAGGTAAAGAAGCATGCCTCTTAGATCAGGGATGTCATTGTCACTAGATGAGCTGCATTGCCCATTGGGGCACAGGTCTGCAGAGCGGTGGTGCTGTGTGCTCATCCCAACTCTGCCTCAGTACCTCTCCCTGGGTGGGAATTCAGCTGATTCCAGTGCTCTTAATGGAAAGAACAGCAAAGCTGCTTCTACCAGGAATCTGGGAGTAGGGAATTCTGATGAACTGTATTTCCTTTTCAGTTTCCAGATCATCATGAGAAGAAAATTTTAAATTATAAGATTCAGTTTCTAATTTATTACCTAAAATGTGTTAAACATGATTGAATCTTTCTAAAAAGAAGGGAATTGACAGGGCCATAGAGCATCAGAGATCATAGAATATTAGTACAGTGGGGCCTTGACTTACGAGTTTAATTCGTTCTGAGACCGAGCTCATTAAGGAGCTCGTTAACTCAAATTACTCTGTCAACTCAATGCAAAAAATCGGCGGAGAGACAGCTGGTATCTCAAAAAACTCGTTAGTTGGGACACTCGTAAGTCAAGG